AGGACTGAAGTGTGAAAGCACTGCAGTACATCGCATGGTGTTACTGATCCAGTGGAGACCATGAGACCCCCTGTCCCGAAAGTGAGCACGTTGAAGACGATCAAGTGGCTTTGCATCCAGACCGGGAGAGAACCCATTCTTCGGTCACTATTTTCCCAACAACTGTACTGTTAGATGTGAAATTGTTATATTCTCAGAAAAGTATACAAAACAGTATAAAAACCTGTCCAGGAGACAAAAGGGCAAGATATTACATTTTCATAATAAAAAGCAATATCTTAGAACCTCTCAGGGAAAAATCAGAATGTTATTTCGTACTCAGTTTCAGATGTGCATGCGAGAAAGGAAATTGCTTTAATTTTTTTCTTTTTATCCTCTCAGGATAGGGAGTCAATTTAAAGCCCTTCTGGAGGACCCAGGTACGGATTCCCAGCTCTTGGAGTTACGATTAACATTTTTTATGAAAAAGATTGCAGTCTCCATGTCCAGATGTCTTGCCTCTAGCCCTGTGTGTTTTTATTTAATTTTCTGCCGTGATTTTGGTGTGCCAGACTTATTATTCCTGTCCCAAGATCCCATAATGTTAGAAATTCTTGTACTCTGGATTTGCTTGTGCTTTGTGCTTGCAGTTTTGTGCAGAGGTCTGCACATTCAGATGAAAAAGGAAGGAAATGATATTTCATCCACTCTGTCCGACTGCAGATTTGAACTTTATTTTGTAATTTTGCAATGAACACATTCCTTTTAGAGCTGTGTGAAATGATGTAAAGGGCTCCTTGGTCAGTTGTCTTATGTTCTTTTAACACAAAGCGTTGGAGGAGTCTGGAACTAGTTATACATCCATGTTGTCGAAGATGAGACCCTGGTGTCTTTCACAAAAAGGCTGGATGAGATCTTTTTCAGCAGTTCACAATTAGCTCCTAGCACCCAAACTACTGTACCTAAGCTGAATGGTCTTTCTCTGCTGTGTAATGTTTTGTTGCATGTTCATAAACCTTAAGTTAAATTCACATGAACTTTTCCCCATAACTGAACCTTTAGTTTAAGGGTGCTATGCTAAGAAGCTAATTACCCTAGTTAAGGAACACATTACCCAGATACAGTACTATGTGCATTTAATATGTCTGCACAGCGAGGAAACTAGACCTCTCACTGGGGGGTTTGGGTTCAAGTCCCCTTTATGGCTGGTCCTGATACGGTATATTTTTGAGAAAGAAACTTTACACCAGCTGTTCCAGCGCAATGCACTGACGTCTTGGCCAGGAGGAATGGTATTCCCAATATGCTTAATTGCTCCAGAAAGAAGGGTAAGCACTGGTCTGATGATTCGTTATGCTATGTGATGTATTTGCTTTGCTATATTTGCATCATGCGTCTGAAGACTTTACCATGATTTGGCTGTACTTAACACACTTAACTACCATTCATTTAAGTTTTCCATGTCTCTTCCATAAGTTGTAAAACCTCAACAAAATGTCATCCTTCTGTTAAAGATTTATACATCATACAATAGCGATGGGAGAGTGCAACCTGCTCTTGTAACAGATCACATAAACATTGATCACGATGGTCCTCA